ATAAAAAATGACATGACATCCAGTGGGCCGCTGCATACTGGTAGCGACATCTATGGGAACTCTGGATGTGTATACATCACACCTTCCCGCTGCTTTGCTGGGAACCCTGAGCAGCCACAAGAGCCTGTGAAACCCTTGTGCACAGCCAAGGAAAGCCGCCTTAATGCCGCTGGTGAAGGGATTTAAAAGAAGCCCTTGATCTCTGTGGCAATGAGAAACCGCCCTTGTTTGCATCTGTGAAAATTTATGAGAGTCTCTGGCCAGTTCCTTAAGGAGAAGTGAGCGCCCTTCCCTGCGTGGCTGGGCCAGGCAGCATTGTGAGGGCTGGCTCCCCTTTCATGCAGCAGCGAGAGCCCGTAAGAACATAGAAAGTGCCGTACTGGGTCCGACCAATGGTCCATTTAGCCTCGTACCCTCTCCCCGGCAGAGGCAGGAGTGGATGCTTTAGGAAGCCCCATGAGACATTACCTTCTGGGGCTGCACAGGGTCAACAATGGCAGCCTCCTTGGTCTCCTCGTCGATGAGGAGGTACATGTAGTTGTCCGTGAGGGCGGGAAGCATCTCCACCTTCATGTCGGCCTGCGTGACCGTCTTGGGCTTCCTCAGCTCAAATTCGGTGTGGAAGAAGCAGGCCCACAGCGGTGCTGAGCCTGGGGACAGAAAGGCACGAGCAAACCAGGTCAGTGCAACGGGGGGGAGAAAGGAGGGGGATCCCACGGCTCTGGGAACTTGTGGGGACCAGGGGGATCCCCAGTACAGCACCGAGTAAGCAGGAGGGAGCCCCGAGTGACCAGCGAGAGTGCGATCCCTATATCCAGAACAGTGTCTGAAACCGCCCGGGGCAGCACACCACCTGCCCGAGACTCGATAGTTAGCCTGCTCACGTGATACAGTGACTTGGCCTGTGCTCACGTCCCCAGTTGGAGCTTGATCCTGCTAATGCAGCATGGAGGAGTGACGAGGGCAGACAGACCTCACGGGCCAGCACAAGTCAGGTCCCTGCACGCTTGAGCCCCGATAGGAAGGCAGCAGGCGTGCAGCTGTTTCAGAGCAGAACCACGGGCCCAGTGCATTTCCTGGAGGCCTGGCAGCAACAACGCTGAAGCTGCTGCACAACGGGCTGGGGGAGAGACCAGCGTCCTAGGCAGAGGACGGCCAGTGCCACGCACAGAGCAGGCAGCTGCAGAGGGGGAGATCTCACATTCACTGGCTGCAGTCACCTGGCACTGGCATTTTGCTGTTTGCTTTGGGGTAAATGTTTAATCAGATCCAAGTCAGGGAGCAGATTTCACATGGAAACAACGCTGGGGTCTTGTCCAGCCCCAGGGCCTCAATCCCTGGAAAAAAAACCATGCAAGCTGCAAAGGAGCAGCTGTTTCAGTGGTGGAGTGGAGATGATACCTAACGTGTCCTCTC